TTTACCCACTTTTGAATCAGGATGCTTGTCTTTTAATTATTGAGTTATTCTGGAAAGAAGCCAATTTTAGGAAAATTCTTTGCAAATATTTTTCTTAATGAATGCCTTGTTATTCCCTATTGATGTTTGATCATTCCTTCCTCTTTTCTTCTCCTATCCAGAGCTCTAAAGAGTAGTTAAAAAAAAAAAAAACACGTAAAAATACTATATTTTTAAAAAGGTAAGTTTTTTAAACTAAGGATCAAATTCTTTGCAAATATTTTCCTTAATGAATGCCTTGTTATTCCCTATTGATTTTTGATTATTCCTTCCTCTTTTCTTCTCCTATCCAGAGCTCTAAAGAGTCTCAGTAGTTTCAGTAGATGTAAGAGAAACTATGTACTCTTTAAAAATACTTCTTTCATTTGAAGAAAAGCACTTTCAGAGTGTTGATGCTTATTCTTCTTTAGAAGGAATTTCCATATTTACTATATTTTGTTTACGCTTAAACAACTACAGTAATCTTTGGTTATTCAGTGCACACAATAATTTAATGTACGATTAACATCTGGTGAAATTTTAAAGGGGTGACACTTTAATTTGGCTCATTTATTCATGAATTTTACAGTTTGTAAGTATTAGTTGTAATTGCAATTGGAGTAGGCAGGAGATAGTCTCCAAAGACAGCCAGCCATCAACTCCTTCTTCCTGCCTGCAAGCCACCTCTATTTTCCTTCCGTTGAAGCTAGTTTGCCCTGTGAGTTGCTTTGACCAACAGAATGCAGAAGTGATATTCTGGGGCTTTTGAACCAGGCCTTAAGAGGACTGGCAGTGTCTAGTTTTACTCTTTTAGAAGCCATTGCCATGTTGCACGGAAGTTTGCGTTGGAGCTACACTACTTAGTGATGAGATCCTGCATGCAGAGAGCCCTGCAGGATGAAAGGCCATCGTGGAAGCTCCAGCCTCAGCTGAGTCCCCAGCTGAAGTAGCTGTACAGACAGCAGAACTGCCCAGCTAAGCCTAGACAACTCACAGAACTGTGAAAAACAATACACTGAGGTGTTAAAACACTCACTAGGTTTTGGGACGGCTTGTTATGCAGCAATAAAGACCCGACATGGACATGGAAATTGGTACCTGGAAGTGGGGTGCTACTGGACATGTGGCTTTGGCTGGAGGCATGAGGGTGGCATGGTGACTGTTAGTGGAAGGTAGTTAGACAAGCACTACTGAAGGGGCACTGATGCTGTATCGTAGAACATTTGGTGACACTTGCACATGAGGAATTATGGAAGGCAGAAAACGAACCTAATAAACTTGGGGATCTGGCTAAGGAGATTTCCAGGAAGAACGCTGACTCTGCCAACTGGACTGGCTTGTTTTATCTGCCCGATAAAGTATAGGAAGAGAGAAATTAACTAAGAAAGGAAATACACTCTCTTTAAGGAAATACATTCACCAGGATTTGGCAGGTTAGAAAATAAAATTATTCATCACTCCCAGCCTCTCCACCAGCAAAAGTTTCTTAAAGTAAGAAAATGCCTCAGGCTAAAGGTCAAATTTGGGGTGTTAAGAATAAAACATGGCCTCAGAGTAAAAATCAACTCATAAGTACGGAAATATTACCTAAAAGTCTTAAAAAGACCTTTAAGGTGGTACCTTGTGAACTCTCAGCTAGACGAAAGTGCTTCTGAGAATTTTACGGGCACTGTCCCACAAGCACCTTGACTTGTAATCCAAATTAGAAAGGGACCAATCTTGAAGAGATGTGTGGGTTGGGCTTTTTGTCTGATGGAGTGGCACATAACTTGATGGGAAACCCAAAAGTTTATAAAGGGGTTGTACCGGTCTGGACTAAAAGGGACAGATCAAAATGAAAAAAGGCTCAGGGACCCCAAATTTCTAGGAGCAGGGAGCAGGTTAAGAAAGCCATTTAGCTGTAAAAATGGGCCATTTCTTCTGGAAAGACAAGGATGATTCAGAGGGTATAGCCAAGAGCTATGGAAAACTACTCTCTGGGAACAGAATGAGGCCCTAATCAAGGACCATTCCCTGACTCCAGAGTAGATGGCCCTGATCACACGTGCCTGGCTGGATTTCAGAATTGCTACAGACCAGTGATGGCTATCTGCCTCCTCTTGGGGGGAAGGAGCATGAATACAGTTTGAGTGTGGGGAAAATGTAAGTAATTTGTATCCACAGGGAGAACTGTGGTAGATTAAAGATGGCCACAAATTTTTTGCTGCTTCTTTCAAAGAAGGTAGGGTCTATTTCCCTAATCCCTTGAATCTGGGCTGACCTCATGACTTGCTTTGCACAATAGAACGTGTTGTAGAAAGTGACAGCATGTTAGTTCCAGGCTTAGCCTTAGAGAGGAATGGCAGCTTTTGCTTTTTCTCTCTTGAGATGCAATCATTCTGTAAAGAAATTTTAGCAAGACTATCTAATGATGAGACACCATGTGGGAATAGATGGAGAGGCCCCATCCTTCTAGCCATCTCTGCCAAGGACCCAGGCATATGAGTGAAGCCATCTTTACATTTCTGCTCTTGCCACCAGCTATATGCAGCTGTACAAGTGACCCCAGGTGAGATCAGCATAAGAACTCCCCTAGCCAATGTTTCAGAATCGTAAGAAATAACAAATCATTATTAGGTTAAGCCACTGAGTGTTTTGAAACAGTTTGTTATTCAGCAATAAATAAATGAAACAGAATGTTAACTTGGAAAAATATTTCTGGCTTAAAAATTTATAAATAATATTTAACCACAAAATTTTAATTCTCGGTGTGGAAAATATTTCTACAGTATATTAATTTATTTTTCCATCTTTGTTAGAATAATATACCACCCAGAGTTAATTTTTCTTTGACTATCTCACAGACAGGTAAATTATCATGAACATTAGTTGTTCTACAATAACATAAAAGGAGCAAGATATTTTTCTAAATGTAATTCTTTGAGGATACACTTTAGAAATGTGTTTTCCCATGATTCATGTTTTCCCACCAGGCTAAGTAGGGCAAAAAAATTAAGTTAACTTACCGTTTAGTTTGCCTTAACTGTTTTAAATTATATTTTCATATAAAAAGCATAAAACCTCAAAAATGTCCAGAAGGAAATCTTTGTTCTTATTCCAAGCAAAATAAGCACTGCTAAAGGTAAACCTGCTGAGCTCTAGAATTCAATGTCATCTCTGAAAGTATAGTGAACACTGAATATTTGAAATGAGGACTTACTGTTGCCAGATCTAGAGGTGTCTGACCTTCTTGGTTCTTCATAGTTGGATCTGCACCATGCGCTAGGAGGAGGGCACATAACTGTGTCCTTCCTTTCTGGGCTGCTTCATGAAGAGGAGTAAAAGCCCACTTATCTGTTGCATTTACACATGTGTTGTACTTTATCAGTAATGCCGCTATGTCAACATGCTGGAGAAAAACAAAAGGATACAGAGAGTTAAGAATGAGATCATCTAGTATACTAGATGTACTATCATGTACACTTGTTTTTACTTGATGATTCACTCTCTCTCTATCTGTATTCTTATCCTTAATAGAAGTTTCTTCTAAACAAAAAAAAAGAATATTTCATCCATCCACCTGTACTGTGGACTCCATCTTTTCTTGCCTCCTCCAATTATTCCACAATTATTCTTTTCCCCTGTAATTGAGTTTTTTTTTTTTTAAATCTGAACCTTCTAACACATTTAGTTTTATTTTAAACACAAATATGTAAAGTGAAACTAGTACCTGACCCTAAGTCTTCTATATCAATGGTCTAATTTATCTGCCAAACTTTTCAAATGAACATTCTATACACTCTGTTTCTCTTCTTATCGTCCCATTTTTCTTCTAACCT